GCCCTAGGTAGCTTTAAAACCTGTCTCTCTCACCTACTGATGTTGGTCCAATAAAACTTTGTCTCTCTAATATCCTGGGACTAAGATGGCTATACTAAAATGCCTATATGCCCTTGGAACAGTCATTTAACCTAACAGTGCCTCCCTCTGTAAATTGAATAAACCTAGGGCTAGAAGGGTTAGCATATTGATAGAATCAAAGGCAATGCATAGGGGGAGGATTGGGAACATGTGAGGTCAGATATTCTTCTCACCACCCCAGATTTCTGCAAGGGTTTTATATATATGAAACATATATTTATATATAAAACACATATATAAAAACATATTTTGAATCCACCCCCTATACAGACGCGATCTGTCTAGAATCATGAAATGGTGGACTGGAAGGGACCACATCCAGCCCCCTGTATCAAGTAGAGAAGGACAACTGCCACCCGTGTCTTATATGTGACGCTTTGTTGAATACACACCAACATGCTACCTTTTTTTGTAGCTGCATCACACTTTTGGCTCATATCCAATTTGTGATCCACTGTAACCCCCCAATCCTTTTCAGCAGTATTAAGCTAGTTAGTCTCCATTTTTGGTGTTTCCTTTTGAAGTACTTTGCATGGACTCTCCTTCCCCACTAAGTGGAGGAAGTGGAACTATGTTCTTATGCCACACTGTGTCCGACACAATGCAGGCAGTGTTACAACAATACAGCACCCTCTATACAGGCCGGTCCAGAATGTGCTTGAGGTGTGGAATTGCTGCTTCTTGCTGACAATGGGACAAGTCCTGCAAGGTGGTGTGTGCTCTGGTCCACTCCAATAAAGCACTTAATCGAGTGCTTAGCTTTGAACTTGTAAGTAGCACCATTAGCTTCAATAATACTTCTCCAGTGTTTAAAGTTAATCACATACTTAAATGCTTTGCTTCACCCGGTCACAGCACCCAGGACCTTGAAGGATTGAGCCCAATATTACATTAGCAAACAGATTTCTCTCCCCTATGCGTCTCACTTCAGTTGTGCTTGTAAAATTATGACTAAACAGTGCTCTATCTCTTTAAGACAGAATAAGGAAGGCAGCCAACTGAAGAAGCCGGACGTAGCCAGTTCAGCCTCAGCCAGTTAGCCAAGAGAGAAAGCGCCGTTTAGGAAACACTCAATAAAGCTGGGACACAGCACTGGGCTTGACGTTCTGTTTACAGCTGAGACTGAGGATTTTTGCATTCTCCTCTCTGCACTGATGGTGCTGATCCCTCTCCTCCAGGGATGCATCCAGCTTCTTACCCTGCCTATATGTCTGCTCTCGTATCTGGGCTTATGGGACCCCCTCTGTAAGAAGATTTTCCCATACTTCATGGCCAGAATCTCCACTGCCTACAATCGCAAGCTCTTTCAACAGAAACAGGACCTGTTCAGCAACCTGATGGAGTTTGCAGGACGTTCAGGGGAGCTCAGATTGCTGGAGATAGGCACAGGCTCAGGTGCCAACTTCCAGTTCTACCCATCTAGATGCCGGGTAACATGCACTGACCCCAACCCCAACTTTGAGAAGTTCCTCCTCAAGAGCATTGCCGAGAGTCCCCACCTCCAGTTTGAAGGGTCCATAGTGGCCTCTGCTGAGGATCTACGCCCAGTAGCTGATGACTCCATGGATGTGGTCGTTTGCACTTTGGTGCTGTGCTCGGTGCACAGCATTGAGCGGGTCCTGAGAGAAGTCCTGCGAGTGTTGAGGCTGGTAAGTATGCATACTATGGGAGATAGTATTTGGTTTTGGGCCAAGCTGTGTCATGCACAGTGACCAAATGAGAGCGTGTCTGGAGCCACTTGCCCCAGAGATGCCTCTCTCCCCCGACTGGCCTAGTGTGCAGGGATAAAACCATTACCCACCTTCTCTCCCCCTCTGGATGCATGAACTGCAGGGACGCAGTGAGGGAGAAGTCCCCATGTTCTCCTATGAGCAGAGACTGAAAATTCCAACATGATGGTCTAGCCACAATCCAACTCTTCATCACCTAAAGCATTTTTTGTATGTGTTTGTTGGGAAGCCAGCAGCAATGTTCCCTTCAATTTTTCCCACCCATGTGCGGAATAAATTGTTGTATGCTCACTGAAGCATATATGACTGTGCACCATCTGTAGAAACAGCAAACCCAGCTGTGGATGGTCTGCTCATCAGCTGGGCAGCAATTGAATCTCTTCTGAGCAGCTGAACAAGTGCACAGCCTACAAGGAACATTGGCCAGTAGTTTTCTGAGTAGAAAGAAGTAAAAGGAAAACAGAAGCAGGCTACCTTTAATTCCTTTGCTGTGTCACACCATTTCAGTGTTTATTACATACACTTATAATAAGACAGCTATCACTGGGATGTCTTGACTTTATGTGGCTAACATTCAAATAAAAGCCAAGACAACATTTTCTCCCTGTTCCTATAAGGAGCAGAAAATGAAGACAGACCTGATTGCCAGGTGTTCAGCCATGATTAAACCAAATTTAAAAATCACAATAATGCAGATAATACAAACAGGCTCATCCACTCCACTCCTGCTGGCAGACAATTCAAATTTTGGTTTACATGCACTAGTGGGAAGTGTTTACATTCAAACAGGTGTTCCCTTAAAATTCTTTTTAAGTTTAGTTCGGCTTAGTTAAAACATCCACATCCAAACATGCTACAAGTTATGCATTCAAATTATTTGATGCCCAAATTACCCGAGTATATCCCTTAATGGATTCCATGTCAAATATTCAGACGCACCTAAGTGGCATCAGAGTCTAATTTCTTTTTCCAAAACTGACTAAGGCACCTCACAGCCTAAATATCCTTATGAGTCAGTGGGTCTTAGGTGCCTAAACAACTAAGAAACTGAAACACCCAAGTTATTTAGGTCCTTCCGAAAAGCTTATCCTTTATTTCCCTCCCACTATCCCTCATTCAGCTTAAGAATCAAGTATAAATGTGCCATCTTTCTAGTCCATGAATCTCAAAACACATAGCTAGAAAATTGCCATTGTTCAAACATAGAAATGAAAGTGCAAGTAACTTTCTCGTTAAAATAAAAGCTATCTCACTCTTACTCAGCAGACCACATAGCAACCAAGACTGGAATTCTACCTGTCTGAGCCTTTGCTATTTTTCCTAATTAAGGTGAAAGGAAATTGAAAATAGACCCTTGCCTTTGTAGTTCTGGCAATTAAATTCTGTTATCAGAGAGTACAATAGTGACAGCTAGAACAGCTGGCAGCCTTGTTACATGAAACCCACTTGTTAGAAAGAAATTGGACAGCTGTTCTGGTGCCCTTCTGTTCCTACTGTAATATTTACTGTGCATCCAATAGCCCAGAATTTCAAGTACTCCTGTACTCGCTACCTCTGTTCAGCAAAGCGTTGTCACCCAAGAGGAATTCTGAAGGCACACCCTCATTTCAAACAGAGATCCTGAGTGTGTGATTTCAGGGACTCTCAAGCAGGCAATGGGGACATCATGGCAACATTGGAATGGACACATCTGTTGAGCGTAGAGTAATGAATGGAGAGTCGATGAGGAGGAGTGAATACCAAGAGATGGATCTCTGGACACTCAGTCACAGATTTAAAAGTGGCCATCCTTCAATTAAAAAAAAATAAAAAACATACTTCAAAGAGAAACTGCAGAGCTGCAATTAATTTGTAAACTTGACACTATTAATCTGGGTCTGAATAGAGACTGGGAATGGCTGTCTCACTACAAAAACAATTTTCCCTTTCTTGGGATTCACACCTCCTCATCAGGGGCAGCCCGTGACTATAGGCCGACTTGGCTGTCACCTAGGGCACCACCTTCAACGGGGCGCCCAATGATGACGTCACAGGGTGCCCGATGATGACATTACTCCATTGACAGCCGTGCAGGCAGGGGCGCCAATCACGCGTTCTACCTGGGGCACCAGCTGCCGCAGCCCGACTCAGGCCACTCCTGCTCCTCATCAACTGTTGGGAGTGGGCCATACTCACCCTGACTGAATTGACCACCTTAGCACTGGTCCTCCATTTGGTATAGTAACTCCCTTCTTTTTACATGCTAGTATATTTATGCCTGCCTCTGTAATTTCCATTCCATACAGCTGACAAAGGGGGGTTTTACCCACAAAATAAATCTATTAATCTCTAATAGTATGCCTACACTGCAACATTATTTCGAAATAGCTAGCGCTATTCTGAAATAACGTCTACACAACAGGCAGTTATTTTGAAATAGTATCAAAATACTGTGAAGCTGGAGGGGGTTACAGGGATGCCGGAATAGCATCCCCATTATTTCAAAAGGTATTTCGAAATAACAGGAACATTTAAAGACATGGAATTGCTATTTCGGGATACTTCCAGTATCCCAAAATAGCTCTACTGTCTAGACACAGCCTAAGATACCACAGAACTCCTCATTTTTGCAGCTGCAGACTAACACAGCTACCCCTCTGACACTTAAGCAGATAGTCATACCTGTAAAGCAGTCTTATTCTAGTGTAAGAGTGCCTTTTTTTACTTAAGCAAGTGGTTTTCTACCTGTGGTCCACAGACTATGTCTAAGATTTCTAAAAGGGTTCACAGCTCCATTCAAAATATTTTCGGGTCCACAAATTTTAAAAGTTTAAAAACCACTGGCTTATCTTATACCACTTGGGAACAGGCTCAGGCTCAACTGAAAAAAAGCTACTCGTGAGTGTCCACACAGTGAATCCACAACATTTTGTTTTCTCTTTAGAGCTCAACTACAAGGTGGGGAAAAAACGTATACAGCAATTTTGCCACAAAGGGGGGAAATGTTCAAATTAGAATCCATAACTCCTACATCAGCCTCACCAAAAATGGCCTTGAATGTTCTGAATACGTTTGCTCTCAGCACTAGTTCTGCTACTGATGCGGTGTTTTTAATTACTGAAATAGGCTGCACCAGATCTGCTCTCTAGCAGTGGATTCAATGAATCAGCTGCGCATGTCATAAAACTACTAGTGAAGTGAACATCTGAACCTTGTCTAGTGGCACCTACCTCAATGTGCTATATAAACATCAGTGAATTAACCATCACCACTTGGTAGGTATGTTCAGTGTTCGGATCCTCCCCATTTCATAGATGGAAAAACTGAAATACAGGTAGTTACATGATTTACTCAAGGGAACATAAGGTAGTAGTGGCAGAGCTGGGAACAGAATCCGTGAGTCCTGACCCCCAGTCACAAAATATCCAATGATACAGGGATGTGTATCAACATATCCTTCCTCTTCCACTTGGAACTCAAACCTTACTGTGATTATGTAGCTTCCCCAAATAGTATTTTTAAATCTTATAGGAGTGAAATAAGACAGAATGGAAAGATGGTGGAATGCTGAAACGCCTCCATGGATAATTGATATTGGGTAGCAGTTCCTGAAGACATAATAGTTAGGGTACATCTACACTGCAACACTATTTCGAAATAACTAGTGCTATTCCGAAATAACTTTGTCCACATCTAGACAGCAGGCAGTTATTTCAAAAATACTGTCAAGCTGGAGGACTTTTCACTCTGACTCCATTGTATGAGGAGTAAGAGTGCTCTATTTCAATAAATGCTGTGTAGATGTTTCCCTATTTCAAAATAAGATATGCAATTGACATAGCTCAATTTGCATAGCTTATTTCAAATTAAGTCCTGCAGTATAGACACACCCTTAGAAGAGAGCCTGAACCAAAGATGGCCAAAATATGGGGAGTTTGATCCAAGAGTTGTGTCTCCAAAGTGGAAGGGGAGATTTTGTTGATGACTTTAAAAGCCCTTGCCTTTTCTGAAGCATTTTGGTTGTTTTTTTTCCCCCAGGGTGGTGCTTTATATTTCTTGGAGCATGTGGCTGCAGATCGTTCCAGCTGGGGCTACTTTTGGCAACAGGTCTACAACCCAACCTGGAGATATTTGGGAGACGGGTGCTGCCTGACCAGAGAGACCTGGAAAGAGTTGGAGAAAGCAGGGTTCTCAGAACTGAAGTTGCGGCACATACAAGCTCCCCTGTCCTGGAACCCTACTCGTCCCCATATCATTGGATATGCTGTGAAATAACTAACTCTATGCACTGAAAAACAGGCACTTCAGCACCATGGTTCCTATCTATTCCCATTTATCTCTAGAAAGCAGCCTTGTAATATGTCAACACTACTTATTTAGAAATTAGTTGCACAGCTAAATTGCCTTGATGGGTTGATAAGGGTAACACGAAAAACTTACTGAGCATCCATAGCATAGCCTAACTTTGGTGTCAGATTTGTCCATATACCAGTCAGGTGCCTCTCAATCCAGTTTTTAGAGAGCTTTGATCAGCATTTCTCACTGGCTATCCTGCTAGCTTCTGTGGATCCCGTTCTATGCACTGATTATTCCCTGATTGTCATGTAGGGGTGGTGAATTTTACTGACTCTCAGAAAAATCAGTTGGGGGCCGCCTCACTGACATGCCCCCCCAGCGCACTGACATGTCCCCCCAGCTGAGAAGGAGAAAGACACTCCCCACATTCCCCTCGCCCATCAGAGACGAAGGGGGGGCCTAGCCTAGTAGATTTTGTGTGCTCCAGTCCCATGGCAGAGGAGGAGGGGCTGGTGAACCAGTGCAGGCTCCCCAGTGCTGTGGGGAGGGGCAGATCCAGGCAAGCCAGGGTCCACATCTGGCTGCTGGGCCTGAGGTTACCCACCCTGACATATATAGTGCCTTGGCACCTAAGTCAAGCTTGGAACTCGGTCTTGTTTCTGGGGCTTCATGGGCCCCATGTTGCTCAGGATTGCGATGCCAAAGCCCCTTTGAGAATTCAGGCTCGTCAATTTAAATCAGATTTGAAACAACAATCTGCACAACAAAATGCTCCCATTATAGAAGGGTAAATTAGCACTAGTAAAGGCCAACAGAGTAGCCGGGGGGCGTTAAATGGCAGGGAGCTCATATTTACTGAAAGATGATAGAAGGTTAAACCTAAGCACCAGACATATCCGCTCAACTGCACTGAAGGTACTTTTGATACAATTTCTTTTGTTTTATTTGTCTTTTGTAATTGCTACAGAACCAGGCTGTTGCTACAGAGACATAGGCTTCTCAATAAAGTTGAAATATAATTCTGTATTTTGAATATGTCTTCTGCTCTGTTACCACTAGCAGGTAATTCATTTTTGTAAATACTAGGGCCTATAGAGTGGGGCTGTGTCTACACTGGTGCGATCTTGCGCCAAAGCGGCCGCTCTTGCACAAAAACGTGCTTCCTGTCTACACTGGCCGCGTGTTCTTGCGCAAGTAAACTGACATTCTACTGTATGAAATCAGGGCTTCTTGCGCAAGCACTATGATGCTCCCGCTCAGGAATAAGCCCTTTTGCGCAACTGTTCTTGCGCAAGAGGCCAGTGTGGACAGGCAACATGAATTTCTTGCTCAAGAAAGCCCTATGGTTAAAATGGCCATCAGAGCTTTCTTGCGCAAGAGAGCATCTACACTAATAAACCATTATCTAATAAACCATCTTGTTAGTCTTTAAAGTGCTACATAGTCCTGTATTTTGTCTCAGCTACACTGGCATGTATGCTATTGTGCAAAAGCACATGCCAGTGTAGATGCTCTCTTGCACAACCACTTCAATGCAAGCACTCTTGCGCTAAAGAGTTTTTGCGCAAGATCATGCCAGCGTAGACGTAGCCTGGGGGGGTTTTCCCCAGAAACAAGATCATACAATCAAACTTTAACAAATTTCTTCAAATTAAACACATTTGCATCAAAGTTTCAAGTGGAAAAGACAATATCAATACTACGCGCCTTGCAAACAAGTATCTCAGCGCATTTTACGAATACTGAGCCTACAAACTTCAAATAGTACTCATTAAGAAGTTGGCAAGATTAATATTATTCATAGGTGACCAGCGCCCAGGTGAGCCAGTAGAAGTTGCTCAACTGGGGCCATAAGGAATGGGTGACTATTCCAATATTTAGATTTACCAGGTGAACACAGAATAGCCTCTATGATACCTTACTGGTTACCCTGAAGCTAACAAGACAGTTCCCTTAAAGCAACCCATCATTAGGCCACCATCCAGACACCCAAGTCAAATGTGATGAGGATTACCAAAGATCTTATTCATCACATAAGAAAGTTCTACCAATCCCATAGGGTCGGACACACTACTCCTCTGATTAATAAATATTTCCTCCCAAAACATGCCGATAGCTAACTAAACTAATATTTATTAGAAAAGTATCAGTTAAAAGATTGCTCCTACAGAATCAGTCTACAGTGTCCATTTTAAGGGTACCAGGATATTCCAGGATCACAATCTTGGGACTTGAAGCTTTCCCCATTGAGTATCTAAGCAGAGATGAGATAAAAAGAATCAGGTCTAAAAGGGTCTTTATACAGTTTTCCAGTAGCCTATTGACTATTCAGTCTTGGGTAAAACAATAGGCAATCATGGTGACTTCCAAACAGACCTATCTCCAGAGCAGGAAGGCGAAAGCGCAATTGGAATTGCAGCTAGCAAGAATTGTGAAGGGTAACAAGAAAGCTTTCTACAGGCGTGTTAGCAATAAGAGGGTGATCAGAGAGGTCACAGGGCCCTTACTGGATGAGGGAGGTAACCTAGTGACAGATGATGTGGGAAAAGCTGAAGTACTCAATGCTTTCTTTGCCTTTGTCTTCATAGATAAGGTCAGCTCCCAGACTAATGCACTCAGCAACACAATATTGGAAAGAGGTGGACAGCCCTTGGTGAGGAAAGAACAGGTTAGGAACTATTTAGAAAAGCTAAATATACACAAATCCATAGGTCCAGATTTAATGCATCCAAGGGTACTGAGGGTGTTGGCAAATGCTGTTGGCCATTATCTTTGAAAACTCGTGGAGATCGGGAGAGATGACTGGAAAAAGGCAAATATAGTGCCCATCTTTTAAAAAGGGAAGAAGGCCAATCCAGGGAGCTACAGACCAGTTAGCCTTACCTCAGTCCCTGGAAAAATCATGCAGGGGATCATCAAGGAATCCATTTTGAAGCACTTAAAAGAGGGGAAAGTGATCAGGAATAGTCAACATAGATTTACAAAGGACAAGTCATAGAATCATAGAATCATAGAGCTGGAAGAGACCTTAGAAGGCCATCAAGTCCAGCCCCAGATCAATCCCAAGTCAAGTCATGCCTGAACAATCTGATTAGCTTCTATGATGAGGTAATTGGCTCTGTGGATATGAGAAAGTCAATGGATATGATATACCTGGACTTTAGCAAAGTTTTGATATGATCTCCCACAATATTCTTGCCAGCAAGTTAAGGAAGTATAGATTGGATAAATGGACTGTAAGATGGATAGAAAACTGGCTAGTCTGTCAGGCCCAACAGGTAGGGATCAATGACTCTATGTCAGGTTGGCAGTCGGTTTCTAGTGGAGAGCCTCAAGGATTGGTTCTAGGACCAGTTTTGTTCAACATCTTTATTAATGACCTGGATGAGTGGATGGATTGTACCCTCAGCAAGTTTGCAGCTGACACTAAGCTAGGGGGAGAGGTAGATACGCTGGAGGGCAGAGATAGGGTCCAGAGTGACCTTGGCAGATTAGATGATTGGGCCAAAAGAAATCTGATGAGGTTCAACAAGGACAAGTGCAGAGTCTTGCACTTGGGATGGAAGAATTCCAAGCATTGTTACAGGCTAGGGACCGACTGGCTAAGTAGCAGTTCTACAGAAAAGGACCTGGGGATTACAGTGGATGAGAAGCTGGATATGAGTGAACAGTGTGCCCTTGTAGCCAAGAAGGCTAATGGCATATTAGGTTGCATTAGGAGGAGCATTGCCAGCAGATCTAGAGAAGTGATTATTCCCCTTCATTCAGCTCTGGTGAGGCCACATCTGGAATATTGTGTCCAGTTCTGGGGCCCCCACTATAGAAAGGATGTGGACACATTGGAGAGGGTCCTGTGAAAGGTGACCAAAATGATTAGGGGGCTGGAGCACATGACCAATGAGGAGAGGCTGAGGAATTTAGGTTTGTTTAGTCTTCAGAAGAGAAGAGTGAGGGGGGATTTGATAGCAGCCTTCAACTTCCTGAAGGAAGGTTCCAAAGAGGATGGAGAAAGGCTGTTCACAATAGTGACGGATGGCAGAACAAGGAGCAATGGTCTCAAGTTACAGTGGGGGAGGTCTAGGTTGGATATTAGGAAAAACTATTTCACTAGGAGGGTGGTGAAGTACTGGAATGGGTTACCTAGGGAGGTGGTGGTATCTCCATCCCTAGTGGTTTTTAAGTCTCAACTTGACAAAGCCATTGTTGGGTTGATTTAGTTGGGATTGGTCCTGCCTTGGGCAGGAGTCTGGACTTGATGACCTCCTGAGGTCTCTTCCAGCTCTATAATTCTATGATCACCGGTAATTAGCTATACTGACAAGCATAAGATAATGGCCATCATTCTCAGATGATTTGCTATACACTTCAAAGAGAGATAAATACAGTATAGACAGGAACCATTTGATTATATTGTATATATATAACAACATATAGTCTGGTAGCACTTTATAGACTAACAAAACATGTAGATGGTATCATGAACTTTCGTGGGCACAGCCCACTTCTTCAGATGACCCAAATTTTGATTTTAGGATGTCCAGAACAAAAATAAATAGGGGATAAGGGAGAGGGGGAAGGAAAAAATGGAAAAAGAGGTGGAAAACAAGAAGCAGAGAGTATGTAAATATCAAACGGAAAACCAAACAGGCAAAACTGGTAATCCATAAGCACCTAAAAATTGGATAGTTAAAAGAAGCAGATAAGGATCATAGGATAGTACAATCTACTCTTCCTCTCTCATTGCTAAAATATGATCCTTATCTGCTTCTTTTAATAGTGCCGAATGGGTCCTGTCTTGCAGTCCTATGATCTAAAATCACTAAACCTTTTCTACCAGATCCAAAGCTAAGGTAGACTTCTCTGTACATGTGCATGCTGATAAAACAGGCCATTGATTTTGACAAATAGAGAGGAATTGGTTGAGCATTTGAAAGTGGAAGGCAGCTTAGATAAAAGCAATCATGAACTGGTAGAATTCATGATCCTAATGAATGGTAGAAACACTGCTGATCCTTGACTTGGGCTGTAGCCCAGAGTGACGTGCTGATGGGGGCACATGTGATTCGTCCTACAGGACCTTATCTACAGCCAGCAAGCTGGGTTTAAGGAGGGGATACACTGCCCTCTCTCGTTGAGGCATTCACTCTATCAGCTAACTCCTCTGGTGGGACCAGCAGGGGTCGGTGTCCGGAGGCCTGGGGGAGGCTCCCACACTCCTGAGACAGAAGACCATGTGGGAAGTAGGTGTGATAGGCTGTACTAGAAGAGGCTAGGGATGAGTGGTTGAGGTTGATGCAGAAGAGGGAGAATTTAGAGAGAGAGAGAGAGAAAGTATGTGTGTGTGTGTGTATGTGTGTGTGTGTGTATGCGCGCGCACACGCACTGCTTGTCTCTTTGTGTTCCAGCTGGGTAAGGGCTTAGAGCAGCCCTGCTATCGGGTTGTGTGTTAGCATAGAGCAGATCCAGGTCTACCTCCTTTCTCTTCCCCTTCCTCCCTAGAATTTTAACAGGGTTCAAAAAAGAGCTAGCTAGATTCATGGAGGTTAGGTCCATCAATGGCTATTAGCCAGGATGGGTAGGAATGGTGTCCCTAACCTCTCTTTCTCTGCAGGTGGGAGATAGGGGAGGAATCACGTGAGGATTACCTGTTGTGATCCCTCCCTCTGGGGCATCTGGTATTGGCCACTGTCAGCTGACAGGATACTGGGCTAGATGGACCTTTGGTCTGACCCAGTGTGACCATTCTTATGTTCTTATGTTACAAATCCCACTTGTCCAGGAAAGGGCTTGCAATTTTCCCAGGCACTGCCAGCAAGACTGGAGCCCACATTTATCTCTCCACAGTGAACAGCATGGTAACCTGCTCCCATCCCATCCCTTTCCCTGGAAGAGAGATGGCACATTGGAGGGCATGCAGTAGGGTCACATTACTCACACACACCCTACCCCTGCCCAGTTTTCTGTCAGGACTCTCCTGCTGAGCTCTCTCCTGTTTTCTGGAGGCAGCCTGGGGCCAGAGCAGGAGA